TGATTTTAGTGGTTCTAAAACCCTTCTCTCTTCAAAAGCTTTTTTTTATTCTTGTGACAACAAGACTTTCCAAAAAAAAAGGAAAACATGATTATAATGACTGGTAATATCATTGTTCAAAAATGTAAAAAAATTATTTTGCCTATCTGATTTTGTTTTTATGAACCCAAGCCTGTACATTAGGCCGTCATAGAATGAAGCGACCTATTTTCTTATGAATGTAAACAGCTAAAAATTATAGAATCATGCTATCTTATTATTTTCGTATGGTATGTCTATAAATTTGGGATAGATATTCTGAATTTACAATATCAGAGGAAATTTATCATATACTACGAGCTAAAGTTGCAATAAAAAAGATAATACGAATGCTGTCCTTTACACGCATCTGAAGACCCCTTAGGCCTAACGTACCGTACATGTATGTAACATGTTTCTGCTATGTATACTATGTATATATATTGAAATTTTTATCTATAATGCATAAACATTGCTATTTCCAATAATTTTAAAGTTTGGAAAACCCTACATTTTCGCTTTTTCACTGCTACTGGAACGTCGACCACACACTTCGAACGGAGCTCTAGGCTGGCATGTTTAGGGACCGCTTTGGGGACTGTAGGCCTTAATGTGATGTGGGCATTTTTTAAAATGTTAAAAATTTCTGTCGGTTGGCTGTTTTAACGGAGTGCCAGTCGGCATTCCTGTCGTTTTGACTTCCCCTCTCGATCATGTCGATTTCACTTGTGGACTTTCTCAGGCCTTTGTGAAAATATCGTAACTTTGCACACGTCTTGGTCATTAGTACAACAAAGATATATTTTTTTTATTTAAAAATAAATATAGTTTAACATGTAAATCATAAAAACTTTAACAAGAGGTCCAAGGGCCACAGCGCTCACCTGAGCACATTCAGCTAGGAGAAAGCACATATCAGATCAGAACTTAAAGTTTACTGAGGTTAGGGGGGGGGGGCTTGAATTTTAACACCCCAGAGGATCTTGATTTGAACGAACTAGAATCTACACTTCCTGAAGATGATTCCATATAAATATTACTAAGCATGGCTTTGAAGTACTTGAAAAGAAGTTAAAAGTTTCCCTATATATTCCTATGTAAAACTTTGGGGGCCATTTTGGGCCCCCTACCCCCTGGGGTCATGATTTGAATAAACTTAAATCTACACTACCTAAAGATAATTTCACATGATTTTCAAAGATTTTTCCTTTTACTCCTACACTAATAATAAAGGAAAACTGTTAAACAGGATGGGTTTTTACAACAAGTTTTGGCTCCAAAACATAAAACAATAATATGCAAAAATATTCCTAAAAAAAAAGAGTTCCTCGTAGTTATTTAGTAAGTCGTACATAAAACACTGGCGCAACCTCTTTTCTCATTTTTGTCTCTTTTTTGTTTAAGTTACACAAATCAATTATAAACACACTCTCTGTGGCAGATGTAGACTAGCTGAGAAAATAACATGTACAAATAAAAGTCAAACTTTAAGAAATGCTTAAATATCAACTTGTTCTTACTAATTTAGAAAACTGTTTACAGGGATACAACATAGTCCTTTAAGTAAGACGGAGGGTTTCTTGCTCTCTGAGGGCGATTTGAGGAACCTTGGACCCCATCCTCTGTATCTGAATCCCTACTTCCTCGCGTGCCTCTTCGGTTGTCTGTGGGGGTGTAAAAGCACTTCGGGGATCGGAGGTGGATCATAGGTGGAGACTTCATGTTGTGGGACGGTTCCTGCGGGTTTTTGGGGGGGAGAAGTTTCTCAGTGGTGTCAATTTGGGGAGTGGGATTTCCAGGTCTTCGTCGTCAGGGATGTGTTTCTTTTTAAGGTTACTTCTGTCGGAACACGGTAACACTCACTTGCTTTGATCTTGTAGGAGTTAGATGTAATTTTACCGGAAATTTTTTTCACATAGCACCACTCATCATTCACCAACTACAATATATCTGGGACGGGCTTTGGTCTTGTCTCTGTCCGAATACAAATACACTAGATCACCGACAGATGGATAAAAAGAGGGCGTGGCCCTTTTGAGTTTGATTTGGACCATGCATGCGATGTGGTTCGAGTCCCGTTGAACTTGTTTCTGGGCGATTTTGGTCGACCATGGGAAGTTGTTCATGTGTGAACTGATTGCGCTGGGTATACATTTCTCGTGCTGACAGGCCCTCACTACGGATACGGGAATTGAGTCTTGCTACGGCAGTGGAAAGGCTGAGCTGTGAAAGGGGCCTTTCCCCCAGGCTCTTGCCGAAGTATTTCATCCTCAATTTCTCAACAGTTTTTTGCTACTGGGTTCTTATAAGGGTTTTTAATGGCCGATCTCAAGGTTGATGCGATAGTGGTCTAAGAGGTCATCCTCACGCAAGGCCAAAAAACACGGAGCAGGGTCAACACGGATAATGGCTCTTGGCCCATCGAGTGGGTGGAGATCCATGCACAGAAGGAGCAGTGCCTCCCTCAAGGTATGGGCCTTTTTCATCGGCAATTAGACATGCGGCTGTATAGGCGGTTACTGTTTCTTTAAGACCAGGATTATTTGGGTGGTTTTGCTTTATGACGTAGCAGCAAAGTTAGTCCCAATGACATCAGGGGGAGGTTCTGATGACTGTTCAATGTAGCTATTTGGAAATTTTTTGAGTGAAGCGCAGGTATGGCAAGAGTCAAACACGGTCTACTGATTGAGACAAGTCCAATGCATAGAAGTTGCGCTTTATGACCAACAACATTTGGTGTTTTGTAGGATGATCCAAACGAATGTGAAGGGCAGTTACAAGGCCATCAAGGACACTGCGTGGGACTATGATGAGCTATTTGGTGGCTGTAGAGGATCAGGCCTGCGGCCAAAAGAAACCATCTTTTGCAATGGTAGCTATGTTCAAATATCGCTTGACGTCTCGGATATTTGTGAGTTTTTTGGAGGGTCTGGTACCCTGTTTTAAGTGTGCATGGGTTCGTCTTAGGTCCGGGCACTCTGCTTGAATATTGATCCATGCTGACCTTGTTGTAAAAGGTAGGGGCAAGGTTTCCATTTTATCGGTACCTTGGTCTTTGGCTTTAGCCACACGCACAACCGAGTCCTCCATTTGTATAATGAAATTGCATATTTGGCATGATGGATTTTCGCATTCTGCTGCATTTCCTGGCGAAGTCAGATGGAATATTTGCGGAACCTGCGAGGGTTGAAGGTCGACCTGGTAACGGCTAGCTGTGGAGGAAGGATGTCACTCGAGGGCTTAAAGAGAACTCGCCGCGGCAAAGCTTTTGTATAGCCTGTACACAGGTTTGCTGTCTGTAAGGACGCATGTTTTGGGGGCTACTGGATGATGTAAGGGTAAATGTTTTATGGCCGCAGATATGCATAGAGCCTCGATTTCGCAAGGAAGCCATGTCACTTGGTGCTTCCGTAACTTTCACAAGAATCCAGCTAGGTAAATTTTTATCTTTCCCATCAAGTATAGTGTTGCTCCAATTCCGCGCTTGCTTACAGAGCCACCTGTGATGACCCATAAATGGTCATCTCTGGTTGGAAGGTAATTTCTTTGGAATCTTTAAGTTTTGTCTGGGCTGTGGGGAAAGTGTTCATGATCCTCGACCACTTAACTTTGTCTTTTGACTGAAGACCACTGATAGCATTCTCCAGTTGGGAGATGGCATGTGCACAACCAGGTAAGCCCGGGAAAACTCTTGTAGGCCCCAAAAATGAGCGGAGACCATGGACAAATCTGGCAGTTTGCATGTAGCCAAAACAGAGACCTTATGAGGGCTTGCTGAGAGGCGGCCTTGTGTCCAGATCCATCCTAATATTGTAGTGGAACTGGGCAGATTATTGTCTTGGTTGGTGATAACTTCAGACCGCAGGCATCCAGAGCTGTCATTATGTTGACCCAGTGTCGTAGAAGTTCTTCAGGGGGGTTTTTGACAGTACAGGTCATCAGCTAATTTTGACACATATCCTGCTTGCAGGTGATCCCTAGGATTCTGCACATAAGCTCTTCTAGAGCAGTCTCTGACCCGGCATCCCCATAGCACATCGGGATAAACACGCACGCCTTTATATGGGGGGGGCAATGCCACAGTAGCGCATCGACTCTTTAGCTAGTGGGATCTGAGCTAGTTAGGTCTGTTACTATTAGATATTTCCACTGACTTATGGTGGCAAAGTGGAGTCAATATCTGGCATTAAAGGGTGGTTAGGTTTCGAGTAGCGTCCAACGTCCTCGAAGGCGGTCACTAGCCTGTGTCCTCCATTAGGTTTAGAAACGAGGAAAGAGGGGTTGAGGTATTCTACAGTAATGTTTAACTCCTCTGGTTTTTCAAGACTCCAAGGGCCTCTAGTTCATTACACTTGTCTTGCAGAATTTGTAACTTCTCCTTAGAATACTGGGGGAGGGGCCCTTCCTCTGTGGGGGTTGCGTTGGACCCATGTTGATTTTATGTCAAACTTTCCTGCTTTCCCATTGTATCCACTGAATTTGGGATCGAAAACAGAATCTTTTCCCGGAGGGCTTTGCAAAATAATTGTTGAGCCTCAAGGGTGAGGATATTGTCAGGATTGACTTTGACAGTACCTGAGTGTAGGACTGTGTCGCGTAGTGAAATCTGAGTGGCTGGCAAGGAACTGGGCACTGTGTCATAGGTGCTGCTTAATACCGGTATAGTAGGAAGGACTTGACAGAAATGTTTATTTTTCTTCAGTTGCTTGGGTTCATCTTTTTTTCACGATGCGAATTTTCCCTGCAACCACCTCAACAATTTCTGGTCTAGGCCACATGTTTTGTGCACATCGAGATTCAACGCGGGGTTCAACAGCTACTGTACCCTCGGCTGGGATGTGTTCTGGTACGTCGAGCTCAAGGTGTGATCCAGGCCATACTGTGGTAGATGGGGACTTCATAAAATTGCATGAGTTCGCCGAATGTGGTGCTGTTTGTTTCCTTCCCCAGTACGGTAATGGATGACATGGAGGTCGCCAATCATAATTTCGTGACGTGCTGGACGGATCTGATTCATTAGCAGACAGAAATGGGATTCCTCTAGGAAGTCTACATCAAGATCTTTCACTACTAAGGCCTCAACATGTAGCGTTATGTTTTCTCGGGTCACATCGAAGTGTGTCTCACCTACTATTTCTAACGAAGTGGTGCAATCAGCCTGTAATCATGTTTAGTGGACTTTGTGATTTCGATTCCTAGAAGCTCAGCGACGCACGCTTAAACATGCTAAATTTTCCACGTCTAGTGTTATGTGGATGACATGTTGATTGTAGTAACTTTCATTTGTGGAGACGTTTTGGCTGACTCGTCTTGAAGAAGGGGGTCCCCCCAGGTCGAAGAGTTGATCGTCATGGAGTTGGTTACTGGCACTAGTCTCCTCATCCCTCGTCCGGGAAATTATTGCTGGCGCATAGGTGTCTGACTAGACTCATAAATGTCTTGTCATCTTGAGGTAAGAATTTGCAGGTGCTTAGAAAATGATCAAAGCGAGGTCTCCCTGCTTGTTTGCATAATGGGCATACCTTGTTGGTTTTCGTGCGAATACTTGGGTATTGCATTGTGGAGGTGGTGGATTGTAGCTTTTAAAGGCTGTGCGAAGGACTTTGGCATCGTTGTTCATAGAATTTTATCAAGTAAGCTGTCTAAAGCCTGAGATATTTCAGGTTTAAGGCTAGCTAATGTCTTTGATCTTAACTCTGGGCCTTACCGTTGTTTAACCAGGGCTGGTAGATCCTTGTGCAGTAGACGAAGCCAGGTCAATGTAATGAGGTTCTCGAGGGATGGTGATAACTCCTCATCAGCCTCAGGGGGCTCACCAAAGGGGAGTTATGCCTCCTCCAGTTGAAGTAGATTGTCTTCAATGAAGCTGGTTAATTCTGGAACAGGTCTTCAGGTCGTTCCCCGGTTCCAGGCGAATGTTATCAAAGTTAAAAAAAGTGCGCCTGTAGATTGGAATAAAATGTGTTCGAATAGCTTGCCATATCGACTTTACAGATGTGGAATTTTTGACAATTGTGTTCCCTTTAGATGATTGGGCAATAATTACAATTTGTCCAAGCATGAGTTCCCAAATGGGCTACCTTTTGTGCAGCTGTCCGCCGACTTCTTCGGGAACGTTTTGTCCGTCGTTGGCAAGGCCACGTCTAGGATTTGCTGGGGTTTTCTTAGCCCATGTTGCCCCGTCCACTAAGAAAATTGCAAAGTTGGGGTCGAGAGAGAGTGTAACGAGGTTTTGCTTCCACGCCTCAAATGTTGTAATAGTTTCATTTTTGGTCAAGGACCATTGTTTTGGAGCGCGATTGCCGGCCATAATGTGTTTGACCGTAAGTGTAAACTCATAAACTATAAACAGCTATCGTGGAAAGTCCCCGTTATGCGTTGTTTGCCGGGGAAATTTATTTACCTTTAATGTTTGGTTCAGTGTAATCCTTGTGCTGCCACCACGCCAATAATAAAGGAAAACTGTTAAACAGGATGAGAGTTTAAAAGTTTTGGCTCCAAAACATAAAACAATAATATGCAAAAATGATCTCCTAAAACAAAAAGTTCCCCGTAGTTATTAAGTAAGTCGTACATAAAACACTGGCGCTATGTAAAACTTTGAACAGCTATGTTGGCCCCGGCCTCCCCCCGGGGGATGATTTTAACGAACTTAAATCTACACTAGCTGAGAATGATTCAACATGAGTGTCATCTTCCTTGGCACAGTGGTTCTTGAGAAGAAATTTTTAAAGATGTTTCCCTATATACTCCCGTGTAAAATTTATTGCCATTTTGGCCCCACCCTACCTCCGGGGGTCATTATTTGAACAAACTTGAATTTACACTACCTGACGATGATTCCACATGAGTTTCATCTTTCCTGGCCCAGTGGTTCTTGAAAAAAAGATTTTTTTAAAAATGCCATTAATTTTTCTCTTATTCATAATTATCCCCCCTTTGGGTAAAGGACGTGGCTCTTCATTTAACAAACTTGAATCCCCTTTACCCAAGGATACTTTTTAGCAAGTTTAGTAGAAATACTTCGGTCAGGTGAGCTAAAAAAAAATTGTTTGTAAATTGTTATCAGTTTGAATTTTACGACATGTTTAAGTACAAAAACCCCTTTGGGGGGAAAAAGATTAGAAGAATTCATCCTTAAATAAGAGAAAATAGCTAAGTATAGAGGGAGAAAATGGTATGGTCATGAGTCAAATAAAATATATACTAATCCGAATTTCCTCTGATCTATTTTTAATATTTTCCCCGAATTACATATATTGGCAATTATGGATATTAAAATCAATCAAAAGTAATCAATTATCAAGTTATTTAATCCAAACTGAATATAATACTAATCGTTTGAAGGAAAATTAATGTAAAATTTCAAGATTTTTAAAAATTTTCATTGAATTTCCTATGTTTTTTTTTATATCTTAAACTTTTGAATTGATTCTTGGTGCGTTAAACAAATAACCCAATATCATGATATTAAATTTTCATGATTTGTTTTAAAGATGTAATTTGTATACCTAATTTAGAAAATAACACTGACATATTCACATAGTTCAGGTGAAAAAAAGTGCATATGAAACATTTGAATTTACTCTGACTTTTTAAAAATAACAAACCAATAATGTACAAGGTTTGCCTGAAATGAATTAAAAAAAATCCATCCACTGATCTTTCCCTATCATTTAAAATATATTGGAATATGGAACATAATGCTATACAGTGTACATTTAATTTCCTGTAAATTAATTAAGAATCTAATCAACGATTTACAATCCAGATTTCCCCTGCCTAAACACACACACACACAAAAGGAATTTTTTACATTTAAAAAAAAATCTAGAAAAAGGCGTGACAAAAATAACAATTCACTTGTATCAGTGCTAAACTTTAGAAAAGGATATAATGTACATGCATGCTGAAGGTCTGTTCACACAGAAGTGCTTAAAATCACAAATGTTTCTTCCCTTTTTTCCCCAGCTTCAGTCTTTTGACTTTCTGTGGCTTTTATTTTAAAATTCTGATGAACATGTAGGTCATTCATAGCAGCTCAAGTATAAACACTTTAGTCTTGTTGACATGTGGCCGAATTAAATACAGATGTGATTCTTAGTCTGAAAGAAAACCAAACTTTATTTCAGTTACAGCCTTATTTACAAGTAGACACCGAATATACATGTAATAATGTAACATATATAATAAAGTTACCTATTAATGATTTATTACAGGTATTTTAATCATAATAGTTCCACTGAAATAAAAATAGCATGATACCTACAAAATATTTACATTCCACATGTTTTTAACCTATAAAATGCGTAGAATTTGGGGCATTAAATACACCATTACATGGGCAGTGAGGTCAAAAGATACAAGTTTTTTTTTTATTTTCATATGTATGTCACAAACCTTGAATGCCATGCAACGTCATAAAAGAAAATCAAAATTCACTCTCACATAGAAGAGTTTAACATATATGTGGTACATTTGGCATATTGGCTCTTCCATTGATTTTTAACTGACCCCAAGGATAATACAAAGGATTTTGAATCACACTTGCAGATGATGCAGGGAGTTTAAAATGTAAATACATGTATAATTCAGTGTCTGAGACCTGTGCTCCCGACTGCCCCAGATGAACAAATTTTGTCAAGGGCGAACAGATTTGTACGTATTGACATCCGGCTTGACGTTTATAAATTTTCCTAAATTAATATTCAGATATTTGATAAAACTCTTTCAAATCAACTAATATTACTGGTAGAAAGTGTAAAAAGCAAACAGACAGAATTCATATAGGCCTGTGATCAAATATGTAGTGAGCTGGCCCCATTTACATTACTGCTAAAACAAAACTTATGTCAGACAATTATTTTTTCGGACTTGTACATTTTTAGCAGGGTTCGGGCTAGTACATTTTGGCAGGGTGGACAACTTTCACTAGCAATCAGCCCTGCATGTCTAGCTAATTTTACAGTGAGTTTCGTGCAGTCTATATGCATAATATAAGGTTATGTTCGCCTGCTTTTTTTGCCCTTTCACACTTGCATGCAAACAATTTTGCCCCATTCTAAATTCGCCCAGTAACAGATTGTTTAAGAAAATATACTGTATTTTTTGAATTCGTCCAACCGAAAGTCAGGGCGAAAAGGGGCGACAATAAACGGGGGCCAAGATTCTCCCGGTTTACAGTAATACTGTATACAGGGAAATTTTCGCCCCCGTCTAATTTTCGCCCCTTTCGCCCTCGTCGGAAGTGGGCGAATTTAAAACAGGGCGAATTCAAAGTAACAGTATAATATCTTAAACAAATATCTTTTTGGGTGAATTTAAAACGGGGCTAAACTTGTTTCCGAATGTGAAAGGGCGAAAATAACACAGGGCAGAAAATAACCCTGTATACAGTATGTAGATTTTATCAGTCTGACATGTACCATAATTATTTTAGCAAGTTTACGTTTAAAAATTTGAAAACTTTTATCAATTTAGAATTAAGATTTTTTCTCAAATGGCAGCCAGATGGTTCAGCACCACAGTTGTCTTTTAGTGCATCTGGATCAAAAGGATTATACTGCCAAGTGTTGACTCAGGTTGAACATTTTGACTGCTTATTGATTATTGGAAACTCCAGTCTGTTTCTTTGGCGATTATTAAAAACCTATCGAGATAACAAATCACTCATCTATCAGTATTCAACTTACATTTGAATTTTACAGACATTTCTTTATATTTTATAGACCTTCCTTAGCATCTTACTTCCGAAAAAAAAACTTATAAATGGATGTGTTCTGTAAACAAGAATCAGGGTCCTCAATAATGTTTCATTAAATAAGAATAATATAATAAATGGTCAACTGTCTTTTCTTTTTTAACAAAAAGCCTTTTTATAATGTTATTTTACACTGCACATCACCTTATTATCATTATATCAAGTTTGTAGGTAAGACATAAACTCATATTTTTAAAATTATAAACATGGTACATGTACCTACTTTTTTCAGTCAATGACAAATGTGCATGATTTTTTGATATTTTCTCATTTGTGTGAATAAATTCAATATTGTTTGAAAAGACAAGTACAAAATATAGTTATCACGAGAATAAGAACTCACTGCATTTAAGGTGTCACTACTAATTCCCATGCACTGCTCATTGCAGTTATGTGAGATTTTTTTCCTTCATTTTCCAGATATGAGACAAAGCGTACATTGATAAGATTATACATCTGCATTTAATCGATGAGCTAACCTTTCACAATGATGTAAATAAATTGCGTCTACTAAGAAGACATTACGTACTAAACATAGTGAACGTAACGTTTTGTTATACTTACTTGAAAATCATAGTGTACATTTTGATCTCTTGTCGTGCAGGTAGTACTTAGAAATGAAATCGCCTAGACAGTTGTTGTAAGGTACCAAACAGCATAGATCAATATACTCTGCATACAAAAACAACCGAATAAAGTGTTCCTTCTTTGAAAATAAAAGAGATCGTCTCCCTGTCATCATGGTGTCGGAAAACGGCCAGGGAATTGTCGTAAATTCCTAATGTCGGAATAAGACTCTAAAAGCCAATGTTAAATAAATTTTATCAGAATTCTATTTAAAGTTACATTATTTGTCTATCAAATTGTTGCTTGTGATCCATTAAATTACTTTTATAACAAAATGAGACGTAATTATATGTACCACCTACATCAGCAGTGATCAGCCTATTTTCAGCAGTTCGAGTTGCGCGGTAGATTTGATTTCGTAAATATTTCAATCACCTTAACATGATATCGTTATTGTGTAGTCTTTTTAGATATGAGCTCTTGTTTATGCATGATTTAGGTAGCGACTACTTTTGCTCAATTCAAATAAAGCCTCTAAGGATATGACCATAACTATTTCACAGAATCAAATCGCTGGAGAAAGAGCTTATTCTAAAGCAATATGAGTCACAATTAAACAAAGTTATCCAGATGAAAAATCAAGTTTAAACAATATATTCAGAAGCACGTATGAAAAAATGTAATCATGAACCATGTCACTTGTATAGAAGATGTGAACTCAAATGATATTATTTACTTGCTAAATGCATTGTCTTCTTCATTTCTTTATATCAATTCAAATATGAACTTGGATATTTATTCTACTTACCTTTTGATTTCTTTTTGAATTTTTTCAAACTGCCTAAAACAGAGTACAATTCATTTATTTACCAAATTAATAAATGAGTGAGTATTTTAGATAATGCATTGCAAAACCTTTTCAGTCAGATGATATATAACGGTAAAAGATATAGTGATTAACAGTAAAAACAAACATTCTTAGAGTATAGAATTAGCTATACTATAGTCCCCCTAAATATAAGTTAAGGAGAAAGTCCGAAAAATGTCCATTACTGTATAGCGGGGAAATAACTCGCGGTGTTAATATTGGCTATGTTCACGGTGTTATTGAATCCGTGAATTCAAGAAACAGTGAATAAGTTTTCAATAGGTATAGATATTAAGGGAGGAAACTTTTCTTACATACCAATTCCGCGAATTCAAGAAACCGCGAAAGCGTCAGAGAAGAGAAAAACGTGAAAATTACAACCCGTGAAATTAATCCCCTATACAGTATGTGAGAGAATTCGAAAGAACTGTTCAAAGCCCGACCCGAAATAAAACAACTTGCCAGAAAAATTAGAATTAAATGATAGCTCACTTGATTTCTGCGTACATCCCTTGTAAAGCTTCATGAATGAAGATGTCCTTATCGGATGTTGAAAGTAATACATATTTCTCCAAAATAAAAGGCCAACGCGTGGTAAATTCTCTAAGTAGGCACAAGCAGAAGAATGCAGGGATCTTAGATTTTGAAGTTGGTGTTCGGGTTGTAATCATACAAAAAATATACTGCGGCAAGTTATAGGACAGAGAACATTCAAAAATGATTGATTGTATATTGTTTAACGTCCCTCTGAGATTTTTTCACTCATATGGAGACGCCACCACTTGCCGGTGGAGAGCAGCAAATTTTACTATACTCGGCACTCAGGGCCATTGAGCAGGGAGGGATCCTTTCGTGCCAACACCTACTGCGACACAGGACCTCGGTTTATACGGTCTCATCCGAAGGACCGGTCTCCACGTCCCACAGTTGGATTCAAACTCTCGCGAAGTAAGGATCAACTCCTTACTTCGCGACTCTAGAGCAGACGCTTACTCACTGCGCCACGCAGGCGATTCCCATGATATGAATTCAATGCTTAAATATACATAAATATATAATCATTCAAACCACTTTCAAGTTCCTCAGGAACATAGCTTTAAATTACTACTTTACGAGAATATTTTTAATTTTTCTTGTATTTTAGTCATTTATTGAAGAGGTGACCCTCAATTCCATTTAAATGAACATGAACCCTACTGTATGATATTTTTAGGTGGCATGTTTTGTTGAAATTTATCAACACATTCTTAAGCATAAGTCAAAACCGATAACGACAACAGAATGAACATGAAAATTGCAGAACAACTTTTTACTGAAAAGCTTCAATTAATTTTCAGCTCAAGTGAGCCAACTAAAAAAATTCTCACGATTTGTTGCCAGGAGAGTTCTTTCCAAGCGCTCGACTTTCTCTGCATAAATAAAAAAAATGTTGTTAATGTCATATACATGGTTTAAAGACCAACAACACAAACCGTTTTTCTTTTAAAACACAAGCAATAATTGCGGTATTATTTATCATGATTAATGTTGATCTTTTCACAAAAACAAGAGATCTGGCAGATATACCTTATAATGGGCTCCTAATGGCTCGCCGTGCAGGAAATGATGACATCATAATTTACCATGGAAACGAATATGCCCTTTTTAAAGAAAGGGGTGGTTCGTTTCGCTTGTTTCATATGATGCAATCGGCTCCTTAGAGGATACATGTACTCAAAAGGACAAGATAGGGTAGCGGCCGAATCTGGTCCCTTATTTGAGATACTTTTCTTCTTGTGCAAAACAAAGCACAAACTTGCCTACCTGAGATTTTTACACATTAATCGTAATTCGCATTTTTTTGTATAAGATATATAAATTTGCTAGATAGCAAGCTTTTGCTCCATGTTTTCCGAAACAAAATACGCTGTAAAATCAATGCAAATTTGCATTAAAATGAAAAAATTCGAAATTTGACCTATTTATTTCACCTCACTGTGACCTCTGTATATATTCTAAATCTTAGAACCAATACTCATTTTGTGGCAGGGGTGACAATAGCTTTTTATTGATTAACTCCTGGATCATTTTGATAGACACCCAAATTGGGTTGAAATACTGGTCTTACTCTATCTTGTCCTTTGGTTTTTACACAAAAATTATATTAAAACTGAAATACCTTGCATTTCATCTTTATGTTTCTTGAAATCATCTGAAAATTAAATTCACATGCTTTAAAATTTTTTACTTGCATAACAATGTAAAACGCCAAATGAAACTATCTTGGTCTTATAAATCATTGAACATAAAAAAAAACCCAGAAGAATGTTTATGAATTTATAACTATAAAACTTGGTTTTTTTTTTTTTTTAAAAATGGGACTTATGGAAGAAAATGTTTGAACCCAGTCGACATGGTTTTTTTTGGTTACAATTTCGATTTTCCAAAATTGATGAAAATTAATGAAGAATTAAATGTCAAAATAAAAAATAAGAAATTGATTTATCACCAAGTATATGTGTCTGAGAGAGACAATATACATGAGTCTTACATGTACTACAGCAAGATCAAATACATAATTTGTATAAAATTGTGTAATGTTGTAAATTTATTATATCTTCTTGATTTTCAGATGGCATATTTTGAGTACAGTGTTTTTGTCCGTCTTGTATATACACAGTAGATTATTTTTTTAAAAAATCGCTGAAATTCGAGTTTTTAAAAATCACATTTCAAAGAACATTTAAACCAAAAAAAAAAAAAATAAAATAAAAAGGATTGACGCATTTCATATTTGATTCCATGGGTGCGTCGGTTCAAATTCCTGCAGGTGAAAAAATAATATAAGTTAAGCAATGAAAATAAGGAGTTATTACTTTCATCCCTCAACAATTCTATTCAAGGTTACTAATCTGATTCAAAAGTTCAAAAAGTTGTCTTACTCAAAAGACTTACCTTGTGATTTCTGAAATTTGCCGATAAAACAAAATGAAATATTATTAATTCGATTTCTAATCTTCTTGACATAACTTCTCCGAGATTTCTTGCATAAGAACAGATATAATCTTTGACTTTAACATTAAAACAAGAAGTATCTGATGAGACAGTAGCTCTACTGGTCTTGTATTAATAAAAAAAAAAGAAAAGTGTCACTTGGAATTGAATTTTGCAACAGGCAACAAAAAATGAAAAGAATTACATGTATGTTCCTTAGTGTTGTCTACGATGTGTCGATTTATGCTGAAATCAAACCAAAACTGTAGGAGGAGAAGGGTATTGAAAGTATTTCTATGAATTTTTTTTTTACTTAAACACGATAACATTTTTTTTTACTAAACACGATAAAATCAATCACAGAAATCAAATACTGATATGCTAAATTATGTGCCATAGTGTAGTTCTTCCTCTTTTTGCGAAGTTAAAAAAAGTGTAGGAAGAGTAGTGTTTTAAGATATTTCACAGAAACCTCTTTTTAGTTACCATGGCAACACCGTTCATCGAACTCAAAAAGCGTTGCACTGAATTATATATCTTAGTCTAGTTTACTTGTGTGCCATGTTATATTGAAATCAGCCCAAAGGTGTAGGAGGGATAGCATTTTGAAAAATTGTTAACAGAAGACAGACAGATAGCTAAAACAGACGGACGGACAGATAGATGGGACAGACGACGGATACCTTACCATCGCAAAAGCTATCATGGCCCCAGGATCATGGAAGAACTTAGACTTTAAATAGTGTTAGTCAAATTTTCTATCGCCTGTAAAATATTCATTAATTGAAGAATTTATATATAGAAATTTGCAGGTAACAACTCTTTAGAGAAGCAATATTGAAAAATATTTTAATTTTGTTGTCGATCTTTACAACATTTTTAAAATAATAAAATAATGATTCATAAAATGAAAATTCATAGACATTTTTGTAAGCATTTTCAATTAATCAATGCTTCATTTTCAGAACATGAGGATCGAAGTACCTTAAGATACATGTATTTCTTGATCCCGGGACCAGTCTCTACTAGTAAAATTAAAAATGAATAACTTAATTAATGTCTTTTATATTATTGATTAATTAAGAAAGAGATGATTAAAATATGATCTGTTGTTGGCACATTCGAATCAAGGGTTCATGATTACAATAAACAGTTTCTGTAAACCAAATATTTTTCGCGACAACCTTCATTCGCAATTTTTCAGGATTTAATCTGCGACTTAGTTTTCCGCGATCGTTACAAACAACGTCAGCGTGTTTGTCGGTTTCCATTGAGCATTATATATCTCCTCAAGGCTCAAACCAATTTTTTTCTTCGAAGAATAATATTAAGCAATAATTTGGAATATGAAACTGTGTAACAGTTTTAAATAACATGAAGCCCAGGGCAACATCGCTCACGTGAGTACTGTGGCTAGGGAAAAAGCATAAATCAGTTAACCCGCGTTTAGTATTAAAATATTAAATGCATGAGTGGTCCCGACTATCTGAAAAGGCAGAGGTGTATGGGGGAGTGGGTACAATTTGAACAAATTGAATCTACACTATCTGAAGATGATTCCAAATAAAATGACAAATGATGGCTTTCTTGAGAAGATATTTGAAGTCTTTTTCCTATATACATGTATATCTTGAATGCTAAACTTTCATCATCCATTATGGCCCCACCCCTCCTCCTGGGTCTTATTTTAAACAAACTTGAATCTACACGACCTGAGGATGGTTCCATATAAATATGATCAACCATGGTTGGTGTTTTTGAAAAGAAATTTTTAAATCCCTATATATTCCTATGTAAACCTTTGATCGTCCATTGTGGCCCAAACCCTCTCCCTGTGTGTCATAATTTTGTACAAACTTGAATTCGAATCTACACGACATGCAGATGCTTCCTTACAATAATGAATTCAAAAATGACTTCACTGTTCTTGAGAACAAAACTTTTAAAATATTTTTTTCCATAAACTCCTATGTAAAATTTTGATCATCTATTATGGCCCTACCTGACCCTCGGGGTCATAATTTGAACAAAGTTGAATGCACACCACCTGAGGATGTTTTCATATAAATATCACCAATCATTGCTTTGCTGTTCTTGAGAAGAAGGTTTTCAAAGATTTTTCTGTATATTCCTTTGTAAAACTTTAATCAGCCATTGTGGCCCCACCCTACCTCTGGGGTCATATTTTAAATAAACTTGAATCTTCACTACCTGAGGGTGCTTCTATATTAATATTGCAAATCATGGCTTTGGCATTTTGTGAAGATTGTTAACGATTTTTTCTATATATATTTAATTGTAAAAATTTGATCAGCTATTGTTGCCCGCCCCTACCATCGTTAGTCATGATTGGAACAAACTTGAATCTACACCATCTTAGGATGCTTCCATATAAATACCACCAATCATTGCTGTTCTTGAGAAGAAGAGTTTTAAATATTTTTCCTATATATTCCTATGTAAAATTTTGATAAGAAATCGTGGCCCCGCCTTTCCCCCGTGGGTCATAATTTGAAGAAACTTGAATATGTACTACCTCAGGATAATTCCTCATGAATTTCATCTTTCCTGGCCCAGTGGTTTTTGAAAAGAAGATTTTTAAAAGATGCCATTAATTTTTCGCTAATTCATAATTAACTCCCCTTGGAAAAGGGCATGGACCTTCATTTAAACAAGTTGATTCCCCTTCACCCAAGGATACTTTGTGGCACTATTTGTCGGTTTGGCCAAGTGGTTCTTGAGAAGAAGATGAAGAGGTGACAAGTTTACAACAACGACGACAACAACAAGGACGACGACAACGACGACACACAACAGACAAAGTTTGATATAAAAAAAGCTCACTTGAGCCTTTGGCTCAGGTGAGATAAAAACGTCTAGGATTTGTATCGTTTTCTACTTCATTTTTTTTAAAGGAAATATTACTACACACATTAATTAGTAAATGGTTTTGTAAATTACTAATTTATGCCCACTCCATGATCTGATTTTTGCAGCTTCTAGATTAGTTTGAAATAAATCATGATAATTTTGAATTTTTTTTAACAAATATCATTTAGTATTTTTTGTTAAGATATTTATATCAAATTTGGATACATGACATTTGTTCAATAGAAAAAGATTCCACAAAAGTCCACGAGAGTTTCCAACTCTCATATTAGACATTTCCAGATTTCGCAATCTCGAGACCGTACTCGTACATTGACTCTGACAGTTGTTTCAAAATTTTTAGGGGGCGTGTGAAAATTCGATTTACTTAAAAACAACAAAAACACTGTTTCCTAGATAAAGCAATGTAATATGTGGCATTTAAAGTTATATATGGCGTATTTTTCATAAGTTCAGACTGACTAAAATTAAAATGATCTTTCTCTTTGTTTTGTTACTTTATATAAAGATAGGACTTACCTGTAAATAACACAATAATTTTATTTAAATCAATCGCATTGGCATGTAAATCCAAGATTAAAACAATATTTCCAAAACAGTTTAATGTCAATTTAACCTACATGTATAAAAATATGGGGATGATATTTGGGTTCAAAAATCGGTGATTTTATTTTGAATTTAGATAGCAAATATTTTTTCTTAATCTTTGTTTAATCTCGGGTTTTCCTTTTTTAGTTCAGATACGCCATACTTAGTACATGTATATAGCGTTATAACCTTTTTAAAAACTTTTTGACACGCCCTTATAGATCGAAGTACAGAGTAAGAGTCCGAGCTCGTGGCGCTTATTGCTGGAAATGTCTTTTACATGGAAATGTACGATTTTCAAAGTTGTTAGAACATGTAACCAATCCCTTTCTTATAATTATACATTTGATAATGATACAAAAAAGTTTAAAACGAAAACAAAACTGAATAAGTAAAAGGGCGACAAGACTTTACTTTGATCAGAAAACGTTCTCTGGGAATTTTAGCTTATATGGGATAAAAAAAAAGACAAAATAATATTTCTTACGCTTTGTTGTATTTGTTGAACTTTCAAGGTTTTCAATTTTCTCTGCAGTAATAAATAATAATTCGATTAAATATTAAAATTAGCACTTATTATTCAAATTACAACATTACAACATATCAGTAGCAATTGTATTCTTAACATAAATATAAACAAAAAATATTTGGATAAATACTTATAAGTTTATGTATAATAAGTATTTCATATTCAATTATCATTCCTTATCTTCATATTTATGTGTGTATAAACAAGTAATTAGACATACCTTGTTTTGTATGCATGTTTTCTGTCAAAAAAAGAAATAGATTCAAGTAAATAGATAAGCATCGATAAGCCAAAAAGATCTATTAATTTTCACTTTAGTTCTTCATGCTCTGACAATTACCTTGTATTTTCCTGAATTCCGCGGCATACCATTTTGATCTGGTGGGATTAAGATCACATGAAAATAAGTCGTTTACGCCCCTTTCATACATGTCCCCACCAATCATCTGTTTTTCAATGTGTATGATGGCGTCTTTGAGTTCTTCCCAGCGTTTTTTAAACTCTGTGTCATTCATAGCACCAATTATAGAATGACCAGATACTAAATTTCTCTTGATACGAATCCTTTCTATGCAGGCTGATAATCTCATATCGCCAGTTAGGGGAGTATTTCCCCATCCAGCTTTATGCTTTGGTATGTTACAAATATTCCTTAAAATAATATATAATACTGAGATGTCCAGGTCTTTGGCAGACAAAGCGGTGCAACCGGACGCTGGATAGATCTGTTCTTTCTGCTGAGTATTCATTCTCTCCAGTTTCCCTCTATTGTTGTCCAACTCTAACCTAAGGTCAGAAGGTTTGATGTGGCGACTTAGAATGTCCCTGAATAAGTCGCTGCATATTGTCATAATCAGCTGACAAACACGGAAGTAATTTTCTGTTGCCTTCTTCTGGCAGAAGTAAGGAGCTGAGGACGGTCCAGAGGTGTTCAACATTGTTCTCAGACTTTGTCTTCAATTTTGATTTAAAAAAAATATAAACATGTATCTAAGCTGTGTTTAAAAGTTTTTTGTCTGAATTTATGATTTATATTAAATTTAGATAAAGTAATATTTAAGGAATCACTGTTTAGTTTTGAGAGTATGCCAAGGGCATCAACAATAGTAGGAACATTCGCCCGTTATGCTAAAATTATCCCAGCTGTCCACCATTGTTGATGTCCCTGGCATACTCTCAAAACTAGACAGTGATTCCTTATATTTCCATTTTTACTTGAAATAACAATCTTAAAAAAAATCGAAATACCGTCTAATTTAGTGGATTTGAAACGCACGAGGCATTCCATGTTATTTTCCCGCCCCTTGACGTCAAATTTTACTATTAAAAAATAGTCCCATACAAACACGAAACAATTCAATGATTATTTAGTTATAATGCAGTAAAATATCAACATTTATCAGATAAACAACAAAAGAATTTTATATAACGATCAAAGCAATCTTGCTAATTTTAATTATATATGTGAGTCAGATTTAGGTTGACGGAAGCACGAACAAGTGTATAGGCCCTAGGCCATTTCTCCGCCGCCATATTGAATGCAATGTTGCAGTTGATGAAACAGGAGTTGGACAGCATGGTCAGGAAACAGAATTGTGTGTGTTGAAATAACAGAGAACCTTGAATTGCGTAAGAAGATGGATGGTAATGACTGAGGGACGATGTCTGTATCGGATAATCTATGTGCCAATGCCGATTTCTCCACGTGGTTTAGATGGGCTGTTTACCATGCATGTTTACGGAAGTTAAGTTCTCGGTCTCGCGAGGTCTCAGCGATAATGGACAGCGTTGCACTAGTGGATTGCTTTTGATCCGAAGATTATTCATTATTTATTTTGTTTTTAAAAAGATATATCATATCTAATTACTTATTAAACAATTAATCAAAACATCTTTTTTTCTTCAGTGTATTTATACGCCACTAATATACATGCAAGTGTGACGTTTGACCTTTCAGTAGTAGCTCAATAGAAAAATTTACATGCCACAGGAATCATGGTGAAATAAACAAGATTCACTTTGTAGCTATAGTGTTTATCATAGGTTTGGTTGCACATAACATATGTTACACGTATGTAAACTTACGTAACACATACATGTGTCCCAAACCAAACACCATAACAAACTTGGACTACCTATATTCTGTTTAGTAATTACACATCCTGCACGATGAATATGAAATTACATTTTGTAATTTGTATTTTGCTATATATTAGCTGAAGACTATAGATATGTATGTTATTCCAATAAAACAATTTTAAAAGACTTTTCTTTTTTTAGTTTTTATCCATTTTACAGTTTAAGTATATGTCGTAGAATACGCCTTCTGAGAAAATGTATGTACCTGTCATGTTATTTCCTATTTTGTTACAATGTTAATATATTAGTAAGATAAATTACTTTAAGAGAATATTTGGACGCAAAAAAGTACTCTTAATTTAACAACAACCCCCCACCCCCAACCAACCAACAATCAATCTTACTATTTTTTCTGTCTAATATTAAATCATTCATTTTATCATTGTGGTTTTCTTTACATTTACTTACCGCTATAAGTAAATTTGTCAACCACATTTAACACAACGTTAATGAACGCATGGTTTATTATTATATATGTTTTAAACAGCACAAATTTCATGTGCGTTAAAGGCATAGTTTACGTGTATGTAAACCACAAATAACATGAAAATTAATAAATTATAGTTAACGTGTATTGTAAAGCTCACATTACATGTACGTGTATGATTTTAAAACAGAGATACCTGATGATTCAATTTTTACTCAAGTCCTAGAGGGGCTTGAGATACTTAAACGATGCTAGGTCATCGATTTAGTCAGTTTTAAAACACGAAAATATATTATTTTGGTGGATGAAAATATTTCTAGAAACAAAAATGACGCTTATCTTGAAAACGTTTATATATTCATAGATATAAAGTGTTAAATGTTGGATTCTATTCTATGACGAATGAACAATGAGTGAAGCTTTGCAGCCGCAACAATTTCTATACAGAGATTTCGCGCTTTCATTTGCGTAGAAATCTCAGGTAACGACTGGTGACTCTGAAAGGTGACGCAGGTTACCCCATCGTAAACAAGTGCATGGTCAGAAAATGTATGGCTACCCCCCCCCCCCCCACCTGATATTGCTTCTCACTTGCCTGCAAATGATGTGTACTTTGAGTCACAGTAAAATAATTGCACAAGATAAATTAATTTTAAATTCTCCCTGATACATTTGTTTTTTAAATTCTAAAAAATAGTATTAGCTTCAGTTTGGTAATGGAACCTATATAACTTCTTTTGGATAAATCTTACGAAATATATATTGGGCATGCCAAATGAATTCGTAGTCACATGGATTATTTGGAGCCCCCCCCCCCCCCTTGAAAAAAAAACTTTTCTACAGGCTTGTAACAAGCTATTTGGATTGATGTATACTAAATGTTGTCATAGGCGTCGGAAGCATACTGAAAGTGGGGGGGGGGGGCTAATTGAAAGGAGGGGGAACAAACCAACAAAAAATCGTAAACCCCAATTTTCAATGCCTAAATTATGTCTATCTTTGCAAAAAAGCCCCCCCCCCCCGGTTCCGACGCCTATAGTTGTGATGTACGTCATTAGGCAAAAAAGTACAAAAACTCATACAGTTTGAAAATCAAATTTTTACATAAAAAAATATTTCGTTAAATTAAGATATGGCAACTATCCTCTATGAAATATTCCTAAAAGTGTAACGTAAATTCATCTTAAAAAGTAGTACGATTAATTATATTTATTCTAATTAAATTCAATATATGAATTTTGTTTCATGGACATGTATTTTATTCAACAGAAGATTGAACTCAATAGCCCTCATCTTATACCATTTTAGGATATTACATGTAATGACACTTCTACAGCTTGAGTATCTCTGTCGTTTTGTCAGTATATACTTGTTTTCTCTCAGCAAAAGTTTTTGAAGATGCTGCTTCACCGGAAGCGAAAGTGATTACATAATTATGCTAAATATCAACAAGAGGCCCATGGGCCACATCGCTCACCTGAGAGGCTTTGACCATTCTTTTCTTTACCATATTTCCCCCTTGTAATACATATTGCGACCCATCCCTACCCCACTGATCATAATTTAGACATTTTTAAATCTACACTACTCCAGGATGCTTCCATGTGCACATAAGTTTCAGCTTTTCTGGTCCAGTGGTTCTTGAGAAGATTTTCAAGGATTTTCCTATATATTTCTATGTAAAACTTTGATTCCCCGTTGTGGCACCAACCTACCCCCGGGGATCGTGATTGGAAAAATTTATCATCTATACTACCCCAGGATGCTTCCATATAAGTTTCATCTTTCCTGGCACAGTGGTTCTTGAGGAGAAGATTTTTAAAGAATTTTCCTATATATTTCTATGTAAAACTGTGATCGGCCATTTTGGCCCCGCCCTACCCCCAGGGGTCATGATTTGAACAAACTTGAATCTACACTACCTGAGGATGCTTCCATATAAGTCTTCAGCTTTTCTGGCACAGTGGTTCTTGAGAAGAAGATTTTTAAAGAATTTTCCTATATCTTTCTACGTAAAATATTAACCGGTCATTGTGGCCCCGCCCTATCCCCAGGGGGTCATGATTTGAACAAACTTGAATCTACACTACCTGAGGATGCTTCCATATAAGTTTCAGCTTTCCTGGCACAGTGGTTCTTGAGAAGAACATTTTTTTAGCCTTCGGCTCAGGTGAGCTAAAAACGTATTCCTATTATTACCATATTCTAAAGTAAGAAATATTATTAAAAATTTGACCAAATGTTATATGTCATAAGGTAATTCGTTTAGGCATTTTTTTTTGGCCAGTTAAGTCTCTCTCTCTCTCTCTCTCTCTCTCTCTCTCACCTGCATCGTGATCAATAAAAAAAATACCTTCTTGTTATCGTTTTCCTTCTGGTGTTGGGAAAACCGAACTTTCGGTTTGTACAGTGTGTATAATGCGGCACGGTGTAATTCATGGACTGGAATTTGGTGTGGAGTTCGGATTTGAGTTTGGAGCCAATTTTTGGAGTCAAGCCAAATAGCGTTTGTTAAAGCCAAATTGCGTTTGTTAATAGAAATAGAGTTCAGAAGAAACTAGTTTATTTTCACCTAAAGCATAAACATTAAAGGAACACACATCTGTTTTCTGTTTGTCTCTAGATAACACCTTATCTTGAACTGTGAGATGTATAAAAATATTAAATATGTAGTCAAGACAATCATGACATAACCTTTGATCATTTTTTAAAATTATAATATTTCTTACTTTTATATATGGTAATATTTGAAGCATGAGGAATACTTTTTGATATTTAGCATTTGTAAATCACTTCCGTTTGCGGTGAAGCAACATCTTCAAAAAATTTTGCTGAGAGAAAAAATTGAATAATCAGGTATCATCTTTTAAAAACAAAACGTTATTTATGTCGATCCTGTTTTAAGTATAGTTTGATATTGGATGCTGGATAATTGCGCTGGATATTGAATATTAACAGTCATGGCAATATCAAATATGATGACACGCATCCACAAATTTTCGTCTAAAGTAGACTGTCTTACAGGAGACGACGTCGATAATGTTGTGAACTCAAACGACAATTGCAATACAATGATGCAAAGATATATATGTGACAGTAAGATAAATAACAGTACCTTCAAAATTGAAGCTGAAAAATATCGATATTTGGAAACACGAACTTGTTAAAAAACAATCGATTGGTTAAAGTCAAGTATGATGACAAAAACTGTGAAATCCAGCTTTTATAATGCAGGGAGTGTCAATATACAAGGAGCGACATCTCAAGTTTCTACGAGACTGATTTCTAAAATTAGATCTATCTCTCTCTCTCTCTCTCTCTCTTACATGCATCGTGAAAATAAAAAAAAGATTACCTTCTTGTTGGTTTTTTTACGATTGATTTTTATTTG